ACAAGAAAGTATATCATCTAACATTTAAAAGACGTACCATCATTTCCTTCTCTAATATCAGTGAATTGTTCGTCATTTACATCTTTAGCCAGTGGCAAAGACGCGTCTTTTGATGGGTTAAAAAACGAATTACCTGTTCCAGATGCTTGGTCTATTTTTGTTATGATATCTTCAACGGGAGATTTTGACAAAATATTATCGCCATCATCGAAAGATTCAGGTGAAGAGTCTCCGACGACAATTGGATTTTGTGCCCTTCCCCCGATGACATCTAAAATTAATTATTATTAAAATTTAATAATTTTAAATAAATAATTATTATTTTTCATAATGAAATTATTAAATTTAAATGTGTACCATCATATTTTTTATATTGTGAAATAAATCTATCTTGTAGAGTCATTACAACATGAAGATATGCCGTATTAAGATCATGAGATTTTCGATATTTATCATGAACAGTAATAATTTTCCCAAGAGTAAATTCTTGTGAATATTTATTGTCCTATACAAAATGATGATTAAGTTTTAGCTTGAATTTTATAGATCAAAGGTTAATAATAATAATAATAATATGAATATATATAATTATATCAATACCTGAGTCAAAACTAATCGGAAATCGTCAATGTTTTCGTCTAAAAATGTCAATACCACCTCACAATCATGTATTTTGTCAGGAATAAGGTCATCTTTGAGATCTTGCATAAACTCCCCAACATATTTGTTAGACTTGACATATATGTGATTCTTTTGGCCTTCATATTCCAATATACAACGGGATTGTCCACTATTTGGAAGGTCACTTTCCTTTTGAGGTGATCGCTTACCGAAATAAAGATCAGATTCATTTTCCTCGTCTTTCAGTATAACACCATTATCGATGTTATCACTGTCAATTAATTCATCATCTTCAAGAACAATTATATCTTCATTGTTGGGAAAAGTTTCAGATATTTCACCTTCAAGATCACGCGAAAACGATTCGTTACTTTGTTGTGGTTGCTGTTGCTTTTCTTGTTCTTCCTGTTGCCCGTTTATCTTCTCAGTATATTTTAACGAATCTACCTCTTCTAATAATTTGAAGAACTCAACATCTTCAGCTGAACTTAGCTTATAATCTAAATTTATATCGTCATCGAACATAAGGTTGTCGGCGTTTTTAAACCAACTTTCGTCGATGTCCTCGTTTACTATAGAGGTACTCATTTCTTGAGGTTTATTCACAGAAAGTAATTCTGACATCTAAAAGAACTAAAAAATTAGTAAAAAAAAACGAATATAAAAGATTAAAAAATATACTTTTAGTTTTTTCTCTTCGACTTTTAGTCAATATGTATATTGATATTAGAACTTTTTGATATTAATAATATTTATATCCAATTAAACACTTTAATTCATAATTTAAACACATGATTATGAACCAATAAAATTGCATAAATATCATTCAAAATTACATTGGGACTAACAGCTAATGTTTTACAAATATCAACCAATCAAATTATAAACTTTGAAAATAAATTAGCGCATATGAGAACATTGGGTCCTATTTTTTTTTGTACTGTACCTGTATTTAATTGTTTTTAATTGGCCTGCTCTATGGTACAATTACTCAATAAATTTGAGTAAATACCCTAAAATAATTCAAATAAAACCCTAAATAATTCAAGGATATAATAGATCATGTAAGATAATGCGTCAAACCTATGAGTCCCAAGAGTCTAAATCCTATTGAGTCATGTAATTTGACATATCTATTGCGGACGACGATCGCTATCACTACTGCACCATATACTATTTAGTAAGACAATATAGCAATACGTACAATGTCAAACAACCTGTTCCATCATCAATCATTTTTAGGGCATTAAGTCTAGACTATATATGCATGTCCCGAATTGACCCATATCGATATGGTTAACGTTAACATTTTTACTGAAAATATGACCGAATAATGACATTTATTTGCAACTAAATTTTTAAAAATCCTACCTCTAATTAAATTACACCGCATTATATCACACCTAGTTACGTGATAAATATTTTTTATACTATTAATAAAACAAAAAATACCATTCTTGATAAATTAAGAAAATTGATTTATGTACCTTCCGAATAGGATTCTAAAAACTACTGTACTGTACATTAATGTCTAAGTAATAAAGTCATAGCACAAAAATTTGAAGTCCAATTAATATGACTACCCAATCCAATTCTAATATCAATATTAGATATCAATATTCGTGAAATAATAATGGAATGTTTTATATCGAGATCAATGTTATGAATTAATTAATTATGAATCTTAACTTTTGTTATAATTAAGCATATTATGAGAATTAGCTTTGTATTCTTTAAGGACCCCTATCGGAAAAAGTAGGTAAATTGATTTTTTTTTTATGAAATTGTTAATTGTTGCAAAGCACAAGAATTAAAAAAATCTGATTGACTAAAAATGAATTATAATATAACTTGAGTCAACAAACATAGAGCTAACAACCAATCTTAATGAAATTGGTGTTGAAAAGGAAGAACATAAGCATGTATAGATAGAATTGGTATTGAAAAGGAAGAACATAAACATGTAGAGATAGAATTGGTGTTGAAAAGGGGGGAGCATAAAGCATTTATTTATTACCAGAACACAGATAGAATGATATACTATTAAACTGGAATTGGAGTTAAAAAGAATGAAAAAACACTCCGTACGTCTTATACAACTGGAAAGCTAACTGAAGCTAACTGAAGGTAATGAATCTAATAAGAAACAGGCTGGGAACCAAATATTCATAGTTGTATGGTTATTGCTATGTGGAAGTTCTCGTTGAGTCAAGAACATAAAGTTTAGGCTCTTTCTAAGAGATATTGTGCCTGTTAATACTTTATAAAGCCTGCGTGCTCATGAGCGAAATGCGTCTTTGTGGGATGAAGTGCGTCCTCATCCAACTAAATATTCCAGGCTGTTTATTATCTATAATTGTACTTTGTCACGTGTGTTGTTTTTTGCATTTATCAACCAAACTACAATCTTAACTAATCTCAAAAAAGCGAATGTAAAGAAAGAACTGGAAAATGTTAAAGTTAGTTTTTTTTTTTTTTTTTATATTTTTGGTAGTTATATAATAAGCTTATCCCTCACAAAATGTTTTAGGATTCATACATAGGATGATCACGAGTTGCTAAATAATATAATGTATGAATCCAGTAAAATTTGAATAATTGTGGGCTCGTGGCGAAATGAAGCAGGTTCGAATCTGGCTGGTGTCACGCTGTAATACCCATAATCCAGATTGCCCAGTTGAAATGAATTTTATTATTATTATTATTCATAAAATAATAAATTAGTTATTATTTTTAGGTTATAGGCTCAGGCGTTGCCTCGGGTGCTAGTTTTTAATTTTTAAATATAGTTTTGTTATAGTAACGATTGCCGAACAATTTTACAAAAAATTTTCGCAGACTTTGAGTCGTTCAAATTTTCCAGAGGAAAAAATTCACAATCATATGTAGCATTGTACGTATACGAAGATTTATATTTTACCGATTTAATAAATTCGGAAAAAATACGTCTATCCTTTGATACGAATAAAATTTAAGACATACAAATGCTGGATACATTATAAAATATATACATAAACAGAAATGAATATCTATTTCCTAATCTTTTCTTGTATACGACGTTTTTTACTTTCAGGTTCATCGGGCATTGTTATTCTGTCTTTTAATAAACCAACAATTTATTCTAATCAACTTTTTTATACCTTTTCGAATTGATTCAATATCCTCTTTTAATGCTTCTTCGGTTAAATTAATTCAAGGTTCATTTTTACTAGTACAATATAAGCCATCGCTAGCAAATATCATTCTGTAGCTGATTTATTAATCCAAGTTTAATGATGCGTCCCAACCCAATCTAATTGCGAAGACCACAAACTCTCGATGTTTATGTATTACACGTATATTAAAATTTATTAATAAAAACTATTTAATTATAGAATTTTTACACACACTACGTACGTACGTAATTTGAAATAGCTAAATATGAGATTATTTAAAATATCAAAAAAGGATTAATTATAAGACATGAAGTTATACAAATTTATTTGTTTAATAATACGTATAATAAAATTTAAGGTTAAAAACCTGTATAATTTGTAAATGTTTTGCTACTGTAACAAGGTTTTAATATCAACAAAGTTAATAGACTATTTGTAATTATATAAATATTAAAACCGTGCGTACGTATACGTATTACGTATTATTTTGTTCATTAACTGTTAATGAAATTATTTTGTTATTATTAAAGTGAATTTTTATTTACAATTTAGAATTCGATTATAGAATTCAAAATATAAATTACTGAAAACTTGAAATTTTTGAACTATCCTAGAAAAGTATCGGATTTTATCTGATACGTAGGGAATGTATATGTAGAATGTATTGCTAACGCTAAGAATTTTTTTTTTCACCAAAGATGCACATATTTAATTGATTACGACAATACTGCAATACTGCAATACAGAACAATATGCATTAACCAAAAAGAAATTTCACACAAGCCCATAATAAGTAATGGCAACATAAAAATTGGAACAAACTATCCAATAATCTTGTGTATATCATTTTTTTTTATGTAAAATATCGTGAAAAGTAAAGTTATCTATGCAAAAAAAATTCTTAAACTTTTGGCAAATCAACTTTGTTAAAAAATACGGATTCACATCGTACATGCATTTAATCACATTATCTTTTTCGATAGCTTGCCAATCATTAACTAGCTATCGTTAGGACCCTGGATAATTTATCGTTATATTTTATCTATCTAGATGTAAAAATGTAAATTTAGAATCTTAATCGTCAAACGAATTTTAAATTTTCACAAGCACGTGAGACGTGCGAAAGTCTTAATGATTAACAAACCTTGTTTTTTTTCACTCATTAAAAAAAACTTGCACAATTTAATTAATAGTTAAGTACTTGCTACAAATTTCATTAGAATAAATGACAATTAATAGAATGGTCATTGTAAAATAAAATACTTAAGCTTTGTAATACAATAAAATAATACCGGCGGCAGTTACTCTACGTGAATTAAACCGAATATCGTGATATACAGTATATACATATCAATATCGATATTTTATCTGTAGATTTGTAGATATTACCAAAATAAATGTACAAGTTATCATTCATTATTGCCGGTAAAATGCTGATTATTTATATAAAAGTAAGAAATGAATATTACTTAATGATCTTTAAATATGTACTTTTAACACCAAATATCGACGATTCACACTAAAGAATTTATGATAATTATGATAATTAATGTATTAAGATAAATAAATTTGCCAATAAATTATTTTACAAGTGTCAAAAAAAACGAATCATTGATCTCAATATCAAATTTTAACAAGAAAAACAAAAAGATTTAAAAGATAATTGTTTGTATAAAATGTTTATAATACATATAATACATGTAACGATTGTACTCAAACTAATCTAATATGGTGTGCAACTTTCCTTATTTAGAACCTAACTAGATAAAAAAAAAAATTTGAATAAAAGTCAACTTTCAAAATTAGTCACACAAACCAACACCACGCTTTTTTTTTACCTCCTTTTGCGTAGAAAATGTGTATTGTTTTGACTCTGTTACTATAACTTAAAAGCTAAAGTGTAATATCAGTAATTATACAAAGAAAAACTATGCCTCGCGCTTCCTCATCACCTGCACTCTCTTACTTACCTGGCAATAATGCTTGGCTGACTAATAATTATCCGACACCTGATAATACTCAATCCCCGCCAGCAAATAATTCCTCTCAACCAACAAGTCCTCAAAATAATGTATCTAATTCTCAACAAAATAACCCTCGAATTATGACTAGAGATTCTAGTTTTTTATCTGACCTTCCTTCAGGTGGGTTTTTCTCTGAAGAACCTTTACTAGGGAGTACTACTTCGATCCCTCCCTTTCCTCACGATTTAAGTGATACGTTTCCAAATACTCCACCAGATGTTCAAACTACTTCCGCCCCTGGTTCGGGCCTTTTAAATGTTGATGATAGGTTAATCATGAATCCTGACTCTCACGTAGATCAATTAAATATGCCAACTACAGGTCTTGTTGAAGCTGATTGGAATTTATTATCATCTCAATATCATGAAAATGATTATTTTCATATTTTAGATAATACTCATTTAAATGACTTATCTATTTCAAGTCATATTGGATATGATAATGTTTTATATAATGTCGGTCAAAGTACAAACGTTCCAATAATTTCAAATGATTTAAATAATGATTCATTAAATAATATAAAATCAATTATATCAGATAATAATAACATTAGAATTCCTGATGAATTTTCTAATGAAAGAAATATTTTATCTGTTCCACAATCTCATTCTGAAAATATTACTATAGATAATGATTCTTTATTTTTTGAAAAATCTATCTTAAATTCTGATGTTGAAAATTCAAAATATAATAATATTGGTTTTTCTGAGTCATATGAAGATGAACCCATTTTCGTTAATCAGGTAATATCTTGAAAAAAAATTTTTTTTTAATTTTCTCTTATGGTAAATCATTAATTTATTAATTCATAAATATATAAATTTTATATATTTATATATTTATATATTTTATATATTTATATTGTCTTAGGTTAGCGACTCGTTACGTAGGCAAAGTAATTATTTTCAAAATATGTCTACTATGTTTTCAACTATGGAATTTGCAAAAGTGGATCCACAAAGTGATGATGATATCACAATTCCTCCTACAACTGTTTCTGAAACGAAACGTAATATGCGACCAAGGTTTGTGTTAAAAGTCATTAAGTATCCTACAAATGTAATTAAGTATAGATTACAATTTTACAATTCTTATTGAGTTATAAAAATATAAATATATAAATATTATATATATATATATCTATATATATATATATATTAGAAATAAAACTAGTTATAGTTATCCACGTTATTCTTATTCGAGTGGAAAACGATCAAAAAAACGTCGACGTAAATATCCTCTTCGTTCAAGGTCTCATTCGGCAACAGAGAACGAAGCTGACGTTGATGATATTTCCAATTCCAATTCTGGCCATGGTCGTCAATTAGAATCTGATGAATTTACTCATGAATTATCTCCAGTACAAAGTGATAGAGAAGAATCCCTTGAAAGCATTTCTAGTATTGCTGAAGATGTAACTAACTATTCACAAAACACTCAAACTTCTTCTATTAAACATAATCTTCGTTCAAGAAAGCCTGTCTCTTATACTAAATATTCTGGTGCTAAATCCGCTGCGTCTACACGTGCAAAAAGAATTAAAACTTCTCCAAAAATTTCTTCTCAAAAAGTTTCTTCTAATAATAATGTTAAGAGTACTCCAAGACGTAAATATAATAGACGTAAACCCACAAAATCATCAAAATTAGTAAAATCTACAAAACCATCAAAATTAGTAAAATCTACAAAACCTACAAAAAATACAAATCCTACTTATAATCGTAAACGAAAAGATGATGATGATGAATGGAATTTAGATGAAGAAAAAGATGATTCTGATTCTGAAACATTAGAAGTTCCTATATTAAGTTCACCTACAA